CGTTTTTAATAAAACAATTATTCCACTCGCGCTTGTTGGATATGAGATGATTATAGCCAACTCGGCGCTACGCGCCTCTTTGGCTATCTATCATCTCATATCCAACGCGCGCTCGTGGAATAATTGTTAATTATCACAGGGGAGCTTAAATGAAGAGGGCAGCGCGAGAATTTGCACACACTGAGGTCTTTACAAAACCAGAATGACAGTGGCATTTGTTTGATTTTTACGTGTAATTCGTTCACCTCTATTTTTTCAATGTTTGCAAGAAGATCCTCAAAGGAGAAGAGCTGCTCGATGGAAATTTCCTTTTCATTTATCGTGGCTGTCTGTATTTCGGGAATGTTCCCAATAAGTTTTCGTCGTTTTGCTACCTGTAAGTACAAATGAAGAAATTTTAATTGAAATACAAAGGTTAGGAGGATTTGGTTTTCATTTGTGGGAAGTTGTCCTTGGGTAAAAAACCACGAAGAAAGTTTCTAAAAGAAAAAAAGCAAAACACACGCAGAACGATACCAAGTATCCACTTTATTTTTTTTATTAGGACAGAGAAAATTATCGACATCGCTGGAAAGAGCTCAATAAACGAGAGTGTTGTCAAGTTTGCGAGTGATCTGTTCAAAACTGACGAAGGTATGATTCTGCAAAGGCACTTTTTTCCACTGTACGATACAAGTGGCCGTAAAATTTTGAGACTGTGGAGGGTGGGGGGGGGGTCATTTGACTTACTGGAACACTTTTAGCTGTCCTCACTGAAAGGGAAAAACTTTCCACTGTTTCTCTTGTATCATATTTGAGCTGTGAAAGTAAAGAAGCAAACAGGTGTTAGTGGGATAAATAACTTTGACAATTCTGCATTTGTGGTGAATCAATTAATCAGTTTGTCTGTCTTAATTGTTTTCAATTAAAGATTTTTTAACATTCTATTAGGTACCTGGACCTTCTTGATTGCCTCCCTCCAGGATTTGTCTGTTTCCTTGAACCATAATCTCTATGAAAAGAATTTGGGACAACATTATGAATTCCAAAAGCATTGAGAGAGGAGTGTAGAGGTGGTAAACATGAATTGTGGGTAATTATCTTGTTGTCATGTGTGAAAAAATTGCAAGACAAAACAGTTCTCTATACAATACTATACTAGGGCTCAATACATGTTCACTTTAGAACATTGTCAAACCAACCAAATATATGTACCGTAGTAGAAGCTGTCACTGCCATGGTAACAACATTTGGACAATGTCTCTTGTAAACAGCAAGTAAGGCACAGAGATAAGGTTTCATTCCCTGAAAACAAGAAACAAAAACACGATTGTAAACATTTTGACATCAACTATGAGGTCTTTGGAGGCGTGGTGGCCTCATGGTTAGTGCGCTCAACTCCGGATTGAGTGGTCTGGGTTCGTGCCCCGGCCGGGTCATTGTGTTGTGTTCTTAGGCAAGACACTTTACTCTCACAGTGCCTCTCTTCACCCAGGTGTATAAATGGGTACCGGCAATTTAATGCTGGGGGTAACCCTGAGATGGACTGGCATCCCATCCAGGGGGGAGTAGAAATACTCCTAGTCGCTTCATGCTAGAGAAACCGGAGTTAAGCACCGGCCAAATGGGCCACTAGGCTCGTAAACAGACTTTACTTTACTTTATGAGGTCTTTACGCTGGTGAAGAGTCACTACTCCCCTAACATTATTAACCTTTTCATTCCAAAGAGTTAATCAATATGAATTTCTTCATGAAATATCAAACACACTTTTAACCAGAATAGTCAGGACGATGAGGAAAAAGAAAAATATCAACTAGGGGATATGTTTGGTTTAACATCATGTTCTCAAATCTGAAGGTAGAATATCATGTACACCATAAGTATTTTTCATATGACAAAAATGATAATTATTACAACAAAGATATGCTATGCTGCAAGGAAAAACTCACCCTGCGATGCTGTAGATCCAGCAGTTTTCTGATCCTAAAATTCCTCACTGATCAAAACATTGAAAGATTTCAAATATGATACAGTGATGATTGACGTTGAGTAATTTGGGAACAAATGCCATCATGTGATTTTTTTTCAAGATAGAGATTAAAAAAGATGAGTTTAAATGCATAATTTCCACACATTAAATATGAACATTTTATGACATATCCTCAAGAATCAGTATACAATTTGTATTTAAGTTTATTTTCCGGTAAAACACATTTTGAGATGATAAACATCAACATGAAATGAGGGTAACAGGTGGACAAAATCAACTTAGTCTACTTCTGGAATTTTATCATGAAAAGTTAAATTAATGTTTGCAATTCTGGTCATAGTAAGACAGATATTTCACAAAAATAAAAACAGTATTGCATTTCACCTGAAAAAAGGGGATTCTACAGAAATCTACTTTCTAAACAAAATATTCATATTAAGTTACATCATCCATATCTTACCATCTTTCTTTCTTGTCAAGTAATATAAGAGATGGCATAAATGAGGACACTGAAAACAAGTTTACCATTTTCAATCACTTCTCAACATCAGTAAGTTGCATCAAGAGACAAAATCAGAGAATGCAAGTGATGAATCAATTTTTGTGAAGCTTACCAAAGTGTCACTCTCCAAAAAGAGGAAGAAGATTCCATACAGAGAATGCACATCTTTCAGATCATCAATAAGGTTAAAGATAAGTACGATCCATCTGAGTAACAAACACTAATAGACAAAAGTTGTAAAGATTGAGCTCAACTTAACAGCAAATGAAATGGTATTTTAAGTCTATTAATTAACAGATAGATCAGAGTAATGCCACATTACTATTGATTCATGAAAAGGCATAAAAACAACAAATTTACCTGATATCATTTTGTTCTTCAAACTGTTCAATGAATACATTAAAAAACATTCAACATTCAAAAATAGATTTTCAGCAATTATTACTTTATTATCATTATTTTTTTTACCTTTATGCTCATAGATAGTCTGTTACTACAAATCCTTGATGCTATGATCACAACTGCTAACCCAGGAACTGATTTCTGTGGAATCAGGGATCTGATAAGCCTTGAAGAAATACTATCATCTGAAATAAATAAAATACTGAATAAGAAATTTAAATCACTAACAATCAGTTGTCTCTTTTTTTCAGATTCATTTTGCTAATTCACGTCTTTAATTTGTAATGATTACAAATTATTACATATATAAACATGGTATTTTTGTTATTATCAACTAGTAATTTGATGAATTTAAAATATTGATACTGCATGATCAGTTATTCTTTCAGTGGCCAAGCAATATGATAACAAGGAATAAAAACTATCTCATTCACCTCAGATTGCTCAAAAATAATTTCAGAGAAGTTTGTTTGTATTCTAATATGGCTGTTTAAGGATCATGGTTAGTAAATCATCTGGAACAAATTTTCAAATGATTAGACAATACAAATCCAACTAGGTTAAATAAATTCTTGAAAGAAGTGAATTTCCATTTTACACTACAACGCAAACATCTAGAACATCGTCGTCAAATGAAAATGTTCACATATAATGACGACATTCCAAGGCAGCTGATTCTGATCGATCATTCGATAGCTAACTAACCATATTTTCCACCAGTCGCTATCTTGACTAAATTCACAAGTTGATCAGGTGGAAGACCATTGCTGTAAGCAACACTTTCAATCCTTTCAACTGCTAGAGAAGTCTCGACTTTGACTCTACCTTTCGGTTCTAGGAAAAAAACTCAGTTGATATTAGGATAAAATTAACACTGCAAATTACAGACAAATATATAAATGAGATTTTGATACATTCGTTTACCCTCGTTTTCCAAAAAGTTAATGGCTTCTTCAGCTTTGAAAATACCTGATCCATCGTCACTCATTATTTATTTCGCAAAGCTAAGGCCTGGTAAGGAGAAATTTATCAAGAAAATTATCTTGCCGACGAGCACTCAGCAAAATCGCACGTCCTCCATATTTTGAAAACAATCTTTTAATGCCAGGCGCGCCAAAACTCAAACATACAGTCCCAGACACCATTGCAGGATAACACTTATCGCCAACTGAACTCTGGGCCAGAATCAAAAATGGCGGATGAGTGTGGAGTCGTAGGAGTACACATTTGTGTCATGGAAACCTGAAATATTTAGGCAAGAATGTCTTCTTGTGGGCTTTTTATAAGTTTCAGTGACGCATTACATCAGCTTGATTTATCGCATAGGACAGCCAATGTGAAAACTCCAGTACGATGCGGCTAAGAAGTAATGTTATCGATTACTTGGCGCTGTTTGGGTTGTTACTCCTCTCATATAGAGGTACCGGTGACGCTGCGAGAAGTACTTTTGCAGCGATCTCCAAAGATGATCTTACACGCTGGAATCCTTCAACTTGCCAGTATGTAAGCCATCTATTCAAGGCAAAGAAAAGGGTTGTAAACAAGTTAGCTAATATACTGGCGAGCAAAAATCCGAAAGAGCGTAAAGAACTCACGAACGCTCAAGTAAAAGCGATTACAATCTTTAGGAACGAGCTAAATGTTACAGAAAGAGCAGTTTTTGATGCCATTAATGGCTTGAGAAAATTACTACTGGAGGATTATAAGTCTGTAGTCCACATGAAAGAAGCTATAAAACAACGACTTGAAGCACTTAAACTTTTAGCGTTACAACAAGAAGATCATTTTAATGCAATCAGCGACGCAGAAAAAGAATTTTTTTCTGCCAGTAAACATGCGGATTTGCAGACCAATGGCACACGTCTGGAGAAAATTATTGGCAGTATTTTAGATGACGTTTCATTTGCAGCTGATAAACTTGAAGAAAAACTTGACGAGAAAACATTTGAGAAGACAAGAAATGCCAAAGGGGCATCAATTGAAGCTGTTGTTAGATTGAATGCTGATGAAGATAGTCAAGACAGTGATAACGAGACATTGGTGGTTGAGCCTGGTAAAGAAAATGAAATGAGCATTCTTGTTGATTCTCAAAGCAATCAGTTTGTTTTAGCCAAAGCTAAAGATGCGACTATTCCACATGAAGATGTACACTTCATCAAGGATATCATCTATATTTTGGTTTTGTCATTTTCTGGATCCTGTATTTGTACACTAGTTCAGTTGCCAACAATGTTTGCATTTGTAATTAGTGGTATGCTTCTAGGACCATCTGGATTGAATATGATCAAGGTTTGATTAGTAATTATTTTTATTACTACAGCACACATATATTTGAGAGGGTGAAGACAAAAATTATGAAACTTAATATGGAAACAATGATACCAAAATATTTAGATTTGAGTTTATAAATGAAATAAAGAAAAACTTTTTTGTCTTGTTGTAGGCATGGGACGAGTTAAAAATCTGATTCACCACGGGACATCAGAATCATAGGTTCTGAAGTTTGACCCTTTAATGGAGATGCAAATTTCATTTTTTCTCTGTCCCATACTTGTAAAAAGACAAAGGCATCTTTCTTTAAGACCTAAATTTGTTCTAATCAGTCAAAATAGACAATATGTCTGTGGTGTTGAGTCCCCAACCAGGGAAGCCATATATTCCAGCTTGTGGTACAGAGAAACTCTTGGCCAGAAAAGTTGTCTTTGTAAAGAGCTATCTGCTTTTGCAAGAGGTTGAATATTGAGGTGCTTATATTGGATATGAACACTGCTTGGGTCAACTGAATACAAATTGTTCAATTTGGAATTTAATGAAAAATGGGTTATTCCACATTATGAAGGGAGACTCAAAGAAAAAAAAAAACAAAGAGTAAGTTAATTGATAGATTAAGTGAGACTTACCTGTTAGTTGAAGTTTGATTAGAATTCTATTGAGTCATCAAATTGTACCTAGGGATCACAGGAGATAGCTAAATGAATGCACATAATCAGTATTCATAGCCAAATGTGAGTGTCTGAATGTAAGACCAACGATGCATGAAGTAGAACCCAGTGCAGGTGGGTAAAAACATCATCTATGATGTACGATGATACAGGGTGGGTATGTGATCCCTTGGTGCAGTTTGATGACTCAATAGAACTCCGATCAAACTTCAACTTATAGGTAAGTCTTGTTTAATCTCTCAATTTGTCTCAACCAGCTGATGTTAGTTAGTTAAAAATTTTTCAGCAAAATGAGGTACACCATAGGTATTCAAATATGGTAAAACTTGATAAGTTACCAGGGAGGATTATTTATTAATTGCTGTTTAATTTTTTTAAGCATGATTTTCAATGTGGTTTAATATTGATTATTTACTTTCGAACAGACAGTTGTGCAGGTGGAAACACTGGGTGAATTTGGGGTCTTCTTTATTCTGTTTGCAGTTGGCATGGAATTTTCACCAGACAGAATAAAAAGGGTAAAGTAATTCTCCTTTTTTATTTTTTGTCTTGCTTTTGTTTCTTGACCTTTGTTAGAACAAATCTAGAGTTATTATAAGTTGCTTGCAATGAAGAATTCCTAACCCCTCTAACTCGTAGAAGTGATTAACATGTAACTTATCTCCACACTTTATTCAGCAAACAGGTAATGAGAATACTTGAACTTATCAGGTAGAAGTTGTTATCTTGATCTAACACCAAATTCTTTTCGCTAATTTACAAGTAAATCTTTAGCAGCTAGAGGAGAGAAGTAACAATCTCATCACATCCAGTGAACTTCACAGCTGTTGCTAAAAGGGGGATGGTTTGGTGCATTTGATTTCCCTCCTTGAAAAAAGGGATACTTTTCAATAAGAAAACAATCTGTGTCACTCCAAATGCCAGAAAGGTATTACTTTAAAACCCCCATACTGGAAAATCCTGCTTACCCATAAGGTATGAACTTATTGACTGTTGTTCTATATTCAATTTGTTTGTTTTTATTTCTTTTTTAGGTATGGAAAGTGGCAGTTGGTGGTAGTTCACTAATTATGGCACTGATGATTGTGTTCGGTATTTTTTGGGGAGTATGTTTTGGAATTATCCCCAAACAGAGCGCATTTGTGGCAGCATGCCTTTCTCTTTCAAGTACACCACTTGTGGCAAAATTTGTAGAAAGCAAGAGTGGAGATACTTCTTCAAAAGGTAGTGTATTTGGTAATGATTGTTCTGGTGTATCCTGTTGCTTGCTTGCACAAGGTTGTTGGTCAGAAGTCAAAAGTTAGACTGTATTGGAGCACTTGGAAATTGTTTCACTAACTTCATTGCAAGCCCCCAAGGCAGCCTGGACAAGTGGCATCTTATGGTATCCTGATTTTTTAATCAAAGGGGGTAAAATGGGTATTTTTTACCAATGAGGTTATGTTGCAATAAAGGAAAAAATTAAACCTAAAATACACTAAAGCAAACTTTTAAACTTTATTCAACAATACATATGATGTACGATCCTTGCAGTAGATAGCGCTATTTAAGCAATAGCGAAAATCAGACCTGAAAAAAATCAGGCCTGTACGGGATTCGAACCACTGACCTCTGCGATACTAGTGCAGCGCTCTACCAATTGAGCTAACAAGCCAACTGGGAGCAGGCCGTTAAGTTGATTCGTAATAAACCCGTGAAAGTGATAAATGAGATACAATGAAATATATGAAGTTCATATATTTTGTATTTTTCACGGGTTTATCACGAATCAACTTAACGGCCTGCTCCCAGTTGGCTTGTTAGCTCAATTGGTAGAGCGCTGCACTAGTATCGCAGAGGTCAGTGGTTCGAATCCCGTACAGGCCTGATTTTTTTCAGGTCTGATTTTCGCTATTGCTTAAATAGCGCTATCTACTGCGAGGATCGTGCATCATACGTATCTAATACCGCAGTTCAAAATATATGAACTTCATATATTTCATTGTATCTGATTTATCACTTTCACGGGTTTATTACGAATCAACTTAACGGCCTGCTCCCAGTTGGCTTGTTAGCTCAATTGGTAGAGCGCTGCACTAGTATCGCAGAGGTCAGTGGTTCGAATCCCGTACAGGCCTGATTTTCTTTCAGGTCTGATTTTTGCTATTGCTTAAATAGCGCTATCTACTGCGAGGATCGTACATCATATGTATCTAAAAATATATGAACTTCATATATTTCATTGTATCTCTTTTATTCAACAAATTCAAAAATTATGAATGATTAATTTAAAATGATTTGTTTTCATATGCAGAACACACTAATGGAGATGGTGACTACACCAGTTCTTTGTTAGGAATTCTTGTGATGCAAGATGTCCACTTGGGTTTGTTAGTTGCACTTCTTCCTGCACTGGCAGGCCATGGGAAATCACCAAATGCTAAAGCTAGTACTGGCGCAGTGCACAATATCATCAGTGGGCATGATCATGGGAATTCAGGTAAAATTATCAGACCTGTGTTTCTCTTGAAGAACTCCTTTAAAGTTGAAATAAATGTGCTGAGTTTGTCTGTAGAGTTTTTAGGTTGTTAGCAGTGGACATTTATCAATTGAAATAATTTTTGTTATCTTATAGATGACTTTGCAAACACCATAGTGATGTTGTTTGAGGTGTTGCTTTCCTTTGTCATCCTCATGTTTGTGTGTTTTGTGATATCTAAAGTTGTTGGACCAGTATTAAGGTAAGTATTCAAACATGTAGTTTCTGTAACATGAAGCCACAAGGAAACCTCTCTTAGCCCTTCTGGTAAGCTAATTTGTGGCCATTTACCAGCTTGTCAGATTACCTGCACTGACCAATTTTTTACATCAAGTGAGCAAAAAGCCAGCAGATTACTTGTGCCAGTGAATAACATGCATCTTGAAAACAAAAGAAAATGGTTTAAAGAACCGTCGAATAACTTACCAGTTGGGGTAGACTCAAACATTTTCACATGACCCATACCTCTCTATTAGCTGCAGCTGCAACATGTATTTATTGATAAATTAAGATATTACTCTTAGGTATCAGGTGGAAATTAAGTAAGATTGGATGTGAGTCCCCCCCAGTATTTCATAAGATGACACTTCATTAATTACCAGTTAGAATTGCATAATTGAATAAAATCTCGCATTCTGATTGGTTAACGAAGCGCGGTATTTAGCGTGGAATTGCGAGTTGAAAACGAGGCTAAGTGATATTGTTTCGCATCTACATAAGCATACAATTTTAAGTAATACTGTTTCCTTTTTTCCACCCATTTAATTCAGTTATGCACTTCAAGGAAATTCCATTACTTCACTCGTGAATTCTGCATTAAATTGCACTTGAAAACCGATATCGCACGAATCGCGAAGCGATGAGTGCGATAGCGGTTTTCACGTGCAATTTAATGCGGAATTCCCTCGTCAAGTAATGAATTTTCCTATAATATTCCTGGGCTGGTAAAGGGAAGAGTTAAGTTTCTAAGAGCACTTCTGAATTGAACCAGCCAGGGCTGACACCCAAACCTCTCAATTTGGATCCCATCAATGAATTTATCAAGCCACTATCTTTTCCACAATCCACAAGTAATCCTTAATTAATGACTGTTCTTCTCCCATCAGATTTATCAAAGACACTGGCAGTAAAGAACTTTTACTTTTAGCGACTGTTTCAACAGCGTTTTCTCTGTTGATGGTAAGTGTCACCGTAATCAACGTTAAGTGGACAATTATGTAGTAAAAGTATGACAGTGTAACAGTGGGTGTTTACTGCTAAATCATATTTATTTCCTCACTGATTTTTTGTTCGATTATTTTTTTTATCGTGTGTTGTTTTATTACAGCTTTCAGAACAGTTAGGAATCTCCATGGAGCTGGGCTGTTTTGTGGCTGGTGTTGTGTTGAGCTCAAATGGGGAACATCTTGTACATCAGGTCAGCATCAAAATTCTCCCTACTGGTCACAATACATTTCTTTGTTAGCTGGTTCTGAGAATTTGGTCTATATCTAGTAATGACCCCCTAGTAGCTTAAAACTCGTCACAATTTGATGACCTTGCTGTTGAATAATCGGTATTATTGTTGGTGAATCATTATTTTCAGGTGAACGAACTTGTCGAACCTCTGCGCGATTTCTTCTCATGTCTTTTCTTCGCTTCAATCGGTAAGTACAGAGCATTTTTGGTTCATCAGGGAGACGTGTCAAGGTTTTAGTCTTTTTTTTTTTGCGATGTAGAAAAGAACTCTATTGGCACAAAAGAAAAGTACAAAATAATAGTTTGCCAGGTTAAATGAATGTCTAAGAGACAAAATTTAACCAAAAATTAACGTGGATGGCAAAGATTGAGAGGGTTGACATGGATTGTAAATGACAAAGGTAAAAAATTATACACAAGCCTTGGTGTTAACTCAGCGAGGCTAAGCCCTTTAACCCTTTACACCGTAACATCAGTATGCATATTCTCCATACTGTTCTCTATACATTTCCTAAGGTGCTGACAAGGAGAATTTGTTTAATAATCAAGAGCTTCTTTAGTTGGTGATCATTTTCTTAATTCTCATGACCTTAGAGTGTGATTCAGGGGTGATACTGTAAGGAGAAATTAGATGTTAGTCACTCTCAGGGATCAAAGGTTTAACTGAGATGTTAAGGACCTTGAGAATGTTTGACACTTGTAACCTGAAATTGTTCAACGTTTTACAAAAGCTTCTCAGGAGATAGTTTGGAAATTGGAGTGCACGAGAATTCATTTTATTTCTGATCACTGCTTTTGTTCCATCTGCAGGTCTACATGTTTTTCCTACGTTTGTGCTGAATGAATTTCCTCTCGTGTTGACGCTCACCCTGGGAGTTGTATCAGTGAAGGTGGGTACTTCCCCCTCCCTCCCCTCCCCTCCGCTCTTAGTTCTCTCACGTAATGGCGTACCTGACGGCTAAACCGTTTTGTGGCAGAACTTTGACGTTAGTCAGCTTGCCTATGGAGGCCTTTCAAACCGCATTCATTGCGTGAAGTGCAGTAGGAGTTCCCGAACCAATAATTTAGAATTTGGAGCATCGAGAGATTCTGCTCGGAAAACATTGCAAATTCATTTCCATGACAGGTGACTTTGCCCTCAAACAAAGGCTTTTTGTCGTAACCGCCGCAAATAGGAATACTTCAAGTGACTGATAGCTTGAACGCAGATTTACTTCCGGGTTGAGGACGCGGAAAAATTATATGGTTTAGACAAAATATATGTTGTGGTTCAAATTTTGGCTTATTGTGCTATCGAACTATATTTTGATTGGCTGTGGTGATTGAATTGATTTTGGTTTAACGACAGTCACTAGGAAAACTCTCTAATTTGACTCTTGTTGTTATTGCAGTTCGTTGTTTCTGTGTTTGTTCTTCGGATGTTCTTATGTGAGTCACGAAGCACAAAATACATCGTTGCCGCTGGACTCGCTCAAGTCAGTGAATTCTCGTTCGTTTTGGGAAGCCGAGCGAGGAGGTTTCATCTCATTTCTAGAGAGGCGAGTTTATTTTCCTCTTTTGTTATCTTCTAAGGAGATGTAATTCGTGTAATTTTCTCTTTACGTTGTTGGGACCGGCAGAGATAACAGGTTTTATGAAACTTCATTCTTTTTATTTTTTAAATTTTCAGGTTTATCTGATCATCCTCAGTGTTACAACAATTAGCCTCCTTCTTGCTCCTCTGTTGTGGAGAATTTCCTTGTGGAAATTTGGAAGCCGAAAATTATGGATGAATTCTGGCTCAGAGCGGACGAGTAAACGAGCTGCCAGAACAGTCTAATGTCATGTTAAGGTTTTTACGAAACTTCTAAGGCCCTGTTTACAAGCAAGGAGGGTAACCCTTGTGCTAGGGTTACCCTAGCAGGCGGGTCAAAGATAGCCCGGGTTTACAAGCAAAATTTCACAGGTAGGGTTACCCTACCACCCGGGACAACTTACGTATGCTTGGTAACCGCACGCATTGTTATCAATGTTCAAAGGGTCTGGAAACAAGTAAAAAGTTGTCCCGGGTAGGCGAGTTATCCCCAGCAGAGCGTTTACAAGGCAGCTAGGGTTACCCTAGCGCTAGGGTAACCCTAGCGCTCAGCTAGGGTTA